AATTCCATTAAAATGAGACCAATAGTAAGCTAACAAAATCAATGCTGCTATTTAACTTAACCTGAATTTTGAAAAAAAGTTACACTACCATAGATATGGTATTTGGTTTATAAGCATCTTTGGTGGGCTAGGTATTTTTTTTAACAAGTGTGGCAGTTTATTAAGAACTAATAAGCTAGATATTAAAATTGGAGGCATCATCAGATTTGGATGTGGAGATGAATCCTTTAGTATCCTCTCTCTTGATTAGGTCCTTGACCGCTCTTTGGCAGCAAATATTTCTGTGCATTTCTATACATGATAGGATTGTAATTTCGATTTTCTGAAACTGACTTTAATTTCTGCTTCTCCAGATAAAATTAGTAGCCCTGGATTTTCTTCTTCTCCTTCTCCTTCTCCTTTGGCGGGGTACCAGAGATTGAACTCAGGGGTACTCCACCACTGAGCCATCCCTATTTTATATTTTATTTAGAGACTGGCTTTGAACTCATGATCCTACTGTCTCAGCCTCCAGAGCTGCTGAGATTATAGGCCTGTGCCACCTCACCCAGCTAAATGTTCTTCTTAGTAAAATTATTGACCCCATATAAATGTTGTAGCCAGTCCTAGCCTCAGCACATTCACAGTACAGCTTCAGCAATGAGATCTAAACTTGTCCTACACAATGTAGCAGAGCAGTGAACCTGCATAGTTACCAAGCACACACATGTACTCTAGAACCCAAGAGCTTGGATTCAAATTTTGACTTTGCTGATTATTAGCTGGGAGACTGGGGGTTTGTTCCTTAACTTTTTGCAACTCAAAAACCCAAAACAAAAAAAGAGAAAAACCAAAAATGAAAAAAATCAACTCCGAAGTTTGGCCCGGAAAGTAAAAAAAGTCAAGGTAAAGAAAAGGCCAACAAAGGGTTGCCAACCCTCCGATAAAACCTTCAAAAAAGGGGAACCAACAAGGGAAAAAAGGAAATTGGGGGGGAACCAAAAAAAAAACCTCAAAAAAACTCCAAAAAACAACCCCCACGCCGAACCGCAAGGCCGCAACAAGAACCCGGGGAACCAACCCCCAACAACCCAAAAACAAAAAAGAAAACGAAGTTTGGCCAATCCAAATCCCAACTTAAAAAAGAAGAAAACTTAAACCCAACCAAAAAAAAGAAAATAACTCCCCAAAAAAAAAAAAAAAATAATTGATGGCCAGTTCAAAGTTGGATATGTCCTTTTATAATTTAAAGATACATAGACAATTAAAATGTTTCTTTCTTCTTTTAATGAAGTTTACACTCAACAAATAGCAATAAAAAAGAAAAACAAAACCACTAGGCTATTTTCCTTGTGGGAGAGTTGAACATGACATATTGTCTAATGCTAAATATCTTGAAATATGTAAATGAATGAAATATTCACATGTAAATTTTAGATTTTCTTTACCACTCAAAAAACAATTGATACCATGATACAGTAAAATAACCCTCAAACCCACATGTCCCTGGATCTGACACAAGGTCAATTTCATTTAATATTACATGAAAGTGGAAGAGGAAAGCAGTTCTGTAGCTCACAGTTCATGACAAAAAGGTTAACTCTAGTATCCTAAGCTTCAGGACAGGAAATTTCTAATAATAATTCTGGCCAACTCTTCTTCCCAAGAGACTCTTTGTGGTTCCAGGTCACACTCAATTTACCTCCATAATCATCACTTTTATTTCCATTTTTATTCTCCATTTTGAAAATTAAGATACTACTTATCAGCACAGGTTCCTTTTAAAGGTCTTATTAAACTCTAGAGGCTATCTTCTAACTGATTTGTAAAATGGTCTTCAATAGAGATTATTTTAATGTTCATAAGCCACATTTAATTTTAAGGGGAAGTAAATTCCAGCTCCTGTGAGAGGTCCTTCACTTATTATTTGTTAGTTATAAACCTGGATAAAGAAGGAAATGGAAAATTCAAATCTTAAAGAAAAGCAATTGCAATTATTTTGTATTGAAACGTCAAGGCACACCAGCCTAAAAGTTCCCCAGAACCCTGGAGTAAACAATTTTGAACCCATGACCACACCTCCATGACAGCCTTGTTAGGAAGTATCTGTGATTTATTCATTGATGGCTGAAATATACAATCAAAGAGTCATTTTTCAGGTTGGTGTTTTCTAAGGTTGGTTGAGTTTTCAGTCACTGGATTCTTTAATCCCACCAGAGATGGGCTGAATCTAAAACAACAGGAGAAGGATTTAGGAATATACTTTCCTCATAAGAACTCCAACTATTTAGGGGAGTTCACCAAATTTGAGAATCCCTGATTTGACTTAACATTTATATTCTGTTATTAGGAAGCACAACTTTGGAAAACTGAAGATATTTAATCTCTTTAATGAGTTGTAAATAAAATAGAGGCATGCAGTCCATCTGCAATTACATTTTTTTTTAAAGAAAATCTCATTTTTTGGATACATTATACTTGAAAGATTATCTTTCCTTCATTTTTTAAAAAAAATCATAATGCAGATTTTTTCTAGTATATCATTTTCTATGTTCATATTGCATTGTAAATTGAAGTTCAAAGCCTATGTTTTCCTTTAGTGATTTTGGCAATCCAGGATCTTGAGGTTTTTAGGCTAGGTCTAAAAACTTCTCAATATTGCAATAAGAGGGTAAAGATCATATTACAGAAATCCAGTAGTCATTTCCAGTAACAAACAAATGCACGAACAAACAAGTAAGCCTTTAACAAGCCATGCACAGGTCTATATTGTGAGAGCCTATCCATCAAATTTGGAATTTTATAACATGATAAAACCAGAATTACTTGTACATGATATGTAAGAGCTTCATTTTGAAATAATTTATTATGCTATACTTCTAAAAATAAATTTTTAAAGAGAAAATAGCAATTTTACATCTACAGTGACTCATATGTAAAGCATATGTTGTTTAATTTAATTTGCAAATTAAGAACTTGAATAGATAACAATAATTAATGCAAGTTCAAGATAATTTTTCTTTAAATTATAGATTCCATCTTTATATTTTTGTCTTTAATTTTCTACTTTATGATTTGTATTGGCCTTCGAACCATAAAAGCTATTAAATAATATAAAATTATAGAATTGTTGAATTGTAAGTCAATACTATTGAGAAAATCTGAGACAATATGATGAAGAATAAATAGAAAACTGGATGACTAGATAGTTAGATGGATGGTAAGCAAGAGAGGGATATAGTCTATTTTATATCTCATAAACACCACTATATAGTTCTGTGGGAAATCAACCAAAAAAGAGGTAAGAAGACCAATAACAAGACTAGCCTCAGCAACTTAGCAAGGCCCTAAGCAAATTAGCAAGACCTTGTCTCAAAATAAAAAATAGAATGGGCTGAGGATGTGTCCTCAGTGGTTAAGTGCTGCTAGGTTCAATCTCTGGGAAGAAGGAGGAGGAGGAGGAAGAGCAGGAGGAGGAGGAGGAAGAGCAGGAGGAGGAGAAGGGGAGAAGGAGTAGCAGTGAAGCAGTGTCCCCTAAGATTCACAGCACAAAGAGTCTCAAGGCAGAGGACCTTGTGATGATCTTGCTGCCAGGTGACCTCTTTCTGTGCTCTAGAGCGGTAAGGACAAGTACCTGTGTTTTACAGCAATTGTTAGATTCCACAGACTCACACAGCTAATTAGTGATGTATACAGGATTTTAATATAGGTTTCTCCAGCTCTAAAATTACGGTACTATATGTATGATCTATTACATCATTTAATATTTTAATTCAACCCTGAGAATTGGTAAAGCTATCAATATCAGCAACAAATAAATTATTACATGAACACATTGCAAAAAAGAATGATGTGGCCACATCTTATTAAATTTGAAAAAAAGTATGACTCATTAACATGAACAATGAAAATCCTAATATCAAATTCTGATGTTAACCTGAGCTTGGCAGCTATTTGTATGAAAAACATAGTTAATATTAAATAAAACTACATCTGAAGGTTTAATGTAAAATACATAAGACTTGTGAAGAGATTTTTCTCTTGGAGCAAAATTAAAAGTGAAAGGCTCTCACTAGGTGTGAATTTTTTAATGCTTGAGATATTAAAGAAAAATTATGTCCCTGTCTGAAGTAGCTGAGAAGTACCTATTGCACCATTGATTTCTTTGCTCTATAAAGTTATGTGAGTAATGCCCTTTGCTGAGCAGATTTATGTTATGGTAATATCATTATTTTTAATCATGAATGTAATTATTCAAAGTTAGTCTTTCAGTCATGACTAATTTTGTACTATGGTGACTCATATGTCTCACAGTTAAATAAGGAAACATGTACTTTAAAATTTTTAAAAGATAACTAAAGCTAAAGATTTGCATAGTTAACCTTTGGTTATGTTTCTGTTTACTTACGTTTGTTGAACTAATATTATGAGTGTGATAGTTGAACTATTTTGTCATTATTTAAAAGGAAAATTATGAGCATTGATAGTGACAGAGGTCTCTGCGATATTTACTCTCAGTTTCACAATTTGAAGCTTTGTTTTTGTTGCTAAGTTACCAATATCATGAATCAAAATCACAAAGACTGACCTCAAAACCAGGTCATACCTTCGGAGCTCTAACATAAGTGAGCACTATGGACTGGTCTTTACTGCAATAAAATATAAAGTTGTCCGCAAACAGAAAAACGGAGACACTGATTTCCACCTTAGTGGAAATTGCCTCATGTGAGCAGAGTTTCTCACAAATCCGTGAGGATGGAAGGATATTAATTTCTCATAGTCTTGCTGAAAAGTAGAGTAAATGTCACTGGCTTTTAAACCCCTCAAGTTAAGGGAGAGAATAGAGACAGATTTTCAAGGAACCTATACCCATTAATGACTGCCTATTGTTTAGGGACATCTCAAATCTGTAATCAGAGGACATACTGAGTCCCTGGAGTCAGGCAGTAAGGGCATTGATGCCTATGCCCATCATGGAGTATCAATATGCAAATGAGGACCTGAACTGAAAAATCTTAAACCACAGAAAATGAACAGCGTTTCTTCCCTCTGATGAATATAATCATGCGTGGCATAATGAAGTTTCCATCAATGATGAACCACACATATTATGGTAGTTTCATAAAATAATAATGGAGATGCAATCCTGGTAACATAGCTGTAACATAGCTGTCCTACATTTAGATACACAGGTATGGCTGTGTTACAATCGTCTATGATAGTCACTACAATAACATGCTGTACTATTTTGTGTTCACAGAGCAATACCCTACACTATACAGCCTAAATGTATGAGATACTATACCATCCTAGCTCTGTGAAAGTGCACTCTGTGATATTTGAACAATGACAAAATCTCTTAACAACTCATTTCCCCAGAATGTATTCCTGTCATAAAGGGAAGCCTGTCTGTAATTCTATTTTAACCAGATGGATTTGGGTAAAATCCCAGTTCTGTCACTTACTCGATATTTGTCTTATAACAAGTGATTCGAGTTCTCTTGTATAACATAGAGGTACTTATACCTGCCTGCCTTACTTGGTCCACTAGATTCTGGCTGGTGTAGAACCTACATGAAACAAAATGTTCGGCAAATGTTAGCTTCTGTTTTAGCACAGAGATAACATTTCACTAGAAAAACCATTCTCATATCTCATTTTGGTTTAAATTTCAGAAGGATTTGTGATTCACGAAAGATGATGAGATTATAATAAGTATTTTAGGATATTTCTTGCAATGGATGAAAGTCACTTTGATAATATTGGAGTTATGGAGTGACTTCCATATGGGAAACATTTTTAAAAATGGGTGTAAAGCACTTAGCAAACTGACTTCTTCTGGTCTAGTGAACAACTCTATCAGCAAAATGATGAGCATTCAGACTATTTGCTGAAGTCTATTTTGAATAATATGGCATCATTATACTAATACTAGTATTTGGAAGAGGGTTAAGACTTCACATCTAGAAATTTTTAGAGAGAAAATAGCAATTTTACATCTACAGTGACTCCATGGTTACAGGAGTTTCCTTGCTTTCAAAGACTCATTAATGGGATCTATTGCTCAATGAGTCAGTCAATTCCATTCTTTCCTGGAATCATTTCTATGGACTGCTTAATAATCCAGTAAAACTCTGTTTGCTCGGGCAAGAAATAGGAAATCTGCTTGTGGAAGAGTGGTAAAGCCTTCTATAGATCATGTAACTTTTGCCCAGTCCTCCGATGCACTGGTAATGAACTCCAGAGAGTTGCAAAAAGAATCACACAGAGAGTTGGTGGGGCAAAGCGTAGGCTAACTCTCAGATTTCCAGACTAATAGTTCACTGAAGTCTGCCACAGTGCCATTACTTCTTGATTGGTGTGGCCACGTTAAAGTATCCCAAGTGTGGCAATCTTTGCCTGGCTGTGTAATCCTGCATTGAATTTAATTGTGAATATGGCCCTCAAATCCCTAATGCTCACAAAACAGAGGTAGTTACTCTGCCAGTATTTGGAGAAGTAATCTCTAATGCTGACCTGACTTCCCTGTCTCCTACACATCATCCTCAAACTCCTTCTCCTTGCTCAGCCCATTCCTTTTCCTTTCCACTATAGACTCGGCCTTTGGTCTGACTTTC